TCAGCAAATAGCGGGGTATTGCCCGATGTATGTTAATGGCACAGAGCTGCGAAAGATCCCAACAATATTGTCAGGACCCACCCCGTTACCTGATTGGCAGCTGGTTCTGCCTCTCTAGAGCCAGCTGTGCCCACCCCTTCCTGTCTGTGTCTCTCCAATGAGTGCTGCAGGAATGGAGAGGGGAAGGATGGGCAATCTCTGCAGGGAGCAGTGACTGAGTCTCTGCAGGGAGAAAATGGCAAACTAAGCGATCATCGGTATGTGATCAATCAGTTCTCGAGCAATAGAGCTGCAGTGTCGCACGTCGGCTCTAATTATGGGGATGAATGTATTTCACTCTACTCAGATTTACTTTAAAAGCAGGGGTAGCCAAACTCCGGCCCTCCAGCTGTGGTGAAACTACAAATCCCATGATGCATCTCTCTCCGGGAGTCATGTCTGGGAGAATCTTGCAATGCCTCATGGGAGGTGTAGTTCCACCACAGATGGAGGGCCAGAGTTTGGCTACCCCTGCTTTAAAGAATGATGCAAAGAAATAAAACTAAATGACACACTGCTGCAACTTCCGTCTTCATCTATTAAAAACAAAACACACCGCTTCCATCAGACAGGACCATTCGTGAGCAGTCCATTGATCTTCCGCATACCTTTGCTATCAGAGCATCATGGATGCCTGTACCATGTGACTGTCAGAGGTGCAGTTTTAGCTCACGTGAGAGTATTTCAAGCATCCTAATCTAATCTGCTCAGTCGCCAGGTAACGGTGTACGGAGCAGGTGCGGTCTGGCCCGAGGTGCTATCTCTCAGAGGAGCGCACATACTGGGGGAAAACACCTGCGCCGGTCCCCACACACTGGTCCATGGTGAGCACGCAGTCAGCTGACGCCTCTGGCCGTCCCCGATGGATGCGAGCAAAGCCACGGGCAATGGAAATAACACCAAACCGTTCATTTCACCAACCCACTCGGAAACTAGTCCATCTTCACAACAACAGTTTATTGCAATCGTCTCCGCCCATATTGCGTCTGCGCCAACACGGCCGAGAGAAATTACCCGTCATTAGGTCTGTAAGGTTTTCCGAACTTAGAGATAGAAACACGGCCAGGTAAACAGGCTTTAAATGACAGAGCGCCACCTCCGTGTGTAAAATCTTTTATAAAAGCAAATAAAAAAAGGGTATACGTGCTCACAAACATACGTTTCATCACGCTCGTCAAAAGGCCGAAGGCCACAATATCTGTTCGAACAGGAAAAATCCACCGGGTGCAGTAATCTAGATTGACGCGTTTCAGGGGCACACCCCCTTCCTCAAAAAATCACAGCTTGCCTTCTCAGAGAGCAGGGTATAAGATTGAGAACTGGCCAATCAGAGGGGTTCTCATCTGTGACTTGTCTCAAGATGACAGGTTGTGGCACGGTGATGTGACTAGAGGCAACCGTGATACGTAGTCGGGGTGGATTTTTCCTGTGCAAACCAACATTGTGGCCCTCTGCCTTTTGACAGGCGGGATGAAACTTATGTTTGCGAGTACAAATACCCTTTTTTTAATTAATTTTAATAAAAGATTTTACACACGAAGGTGGAGCTCTGTTTTTTTATGTACATGATGGGAAACAGCAACCATTAGCGCCAAGAGACAACAAAAAAACCTTTTTAGGCTTTAAATGCTTGGTTCTCAACTGGTGGGTCACGACCCCGTGTTCAGTGGGTCGCTGCATGCCTTCCACTTTTCTAGGTGAGAGGCTGCTCAGTCGCTCTAGCGCAGCTCTGTCCATTATCACACCGAGTAGCCATTCAAAATATGCTGCCCAGCACATAGTGGCAACTTGGGGATGGGATGGCGCTATGGCCGCGAGGGAGCTCCATCCATACTTTCATTGCTTACAGCTCCCTCGCATGTCCTGTAGAGGTGCCTGGACCGGAGTGACATCACATTCTGGCTCCGGGCACCTCTACAGGGCACGCAGGGGAGCTGTACAAGCAATGCACATATGGATGGAGCTCCGTCACAGCACAGCAGCCCAGGCTTCGACTTGGGTCGCGACTTAGGCCTGGTTCACACCTGGGCGTTTTGTAGCGCGTTCCTACGCTCTGCAAAACGCTCAAACACCGAAATCCCATTATTTCCTATAGGTATGGTTCACACCTGGGCGTACTACAGGCGGTATGAACGCGCTACAAAACGCCCTACGCCCAAACAAGTACAGGAGCTTCTTTGGAGCGTATTTGCCGCGCGTATCCACTGGGATACAGCCAGGCAGCCCTCGGAAACGCGCGTTTGTCACGCGGTTTTTTTTACCGTGAATCGCGGTAAAAACGCGCATATTCGATACGCCTAGGTGTGAACCCAGCCTTAATGACCGAGGACAAATGTGGGTCCTGGAGGTTAAGAACCTCCAATTTAAATGATAACGAATGCCCTGCCGCACATGAAGCGGTTACACAGTCCAATGCTTGCAAGCGTGCCAACAAATTCAAGCATTAGTGGTGATTAAGGAGAAGCAAAACGTCGGCCATTTTGGTGACGTTCATTAGGAGTCAATTGGGGGAAGGCAAAATAAAAGGTAGCTTTTAAGGGTGCAGTGGGTTTAAATGTCTCCAGTTTCTTTGTCTTGTTGCGTATTTTGTCATTTTGTTTAGAATAAAAATCACTCCTGCATTACAAGACTAAATACTTGCCCCTCGTCAGTCAGCTAGTCCACAGTGTCTTCATAACATACAGCACGGGTGGGCAACTCTGGCCCGCCAGCTGTGCTTTAGCTACAAATCCCAACATGCCTCTGCGAGTCATGCCTGTAAGTGTCAGAGTCTTGCAATGCCTCATGGGACTTCCACAACAGCTGGAGGGCCGGAGTTGGCCAGCCCTTACCCACAGCCTCTGGCAGTATGCAGCATTGTACATTTCAAGGAGTGCCAGATGCAATAGTCTACTATTGCAGGAACTATTTTTAGAAGACGAAGAGTCGCCCTGACACTGTGGTGTGGAAACAGCAAACATACCTGTAAAAAGAAGCGAGGAATACAGTACGGACCTTCTTGGCAGCCTATGTCTAGAAATGCCGCCATGATACTTCTCCACAGCCACTGCAAGTAATATTCCGGTCAGATAAAGGCAAACACATTGGGTTCTCCTGCTGGCTTGTACATGCTGTACTGACATGTGAGCCAATGGAAGGAACCACAATATGAGGAGAGAGAGGAGGTATTCACACAGCTGGAAGTGTACAGTAAAATACCTGCAGCAACCACAGAGCAGCATCACCTTGGCATTTCAGGACACAGGCTGCCGGGAAAATTAGTGTATTAAAGTAGATAAAAAGTCTAACTCTTCTTTTTATCTGTATTTATTTATTTTTACTGTTTTGACTCTGTAGAGACAGGTTCACTTTAAGGCCTCATTCACCATGCTTAGAGCCGGCCCGTACAGATGGGTTCAGCGCGCACGGCCGTATCGGGCCGTTCCGGGCAAGGACAGGTGCTACATGTCATTGTATGCAGCAGCCTGTTCTTCCCTATGGGAGCTACGCTCACCCGAACTGCACCATGGATCCTGTCTGTGTCAGCCGCACGGATGTGCAGCTCGGGTGAGCGTACAGCTGCGTCCGCCCATAGAGAACAGGAGCGTACAATCACATGCCGCACCCATCCTTCCCGGGAACGGCCCGATACAGCCATGCATGCTGCACGGAGCTGTACTGGCCGACTAAGCAGTGCGAATGAGGCCTAAGGGCTTGTTCACACCAAAAAATCGGAAAGAAAGTCGCAAGTCTACGGAGGGTTCATTGACTTGCAATTGTACTTTCGGATTTCTTTCTGATCCGTTCAACGGATGCCAACAGAAGGGCACTGGAAAATGAATAGGGCTAGTCCACACCAGATTTGTTGCGTTACGTTGCACTGTACAAAAAAAGTAGTGCACGTTCTACTTTATTTCAGCGCAACATAATGCAACAGAACCGAGCGGTGTGATCTAGCCCCGTTTATTTTTCGGTGCCCTTACGTTAGCATCCGAAAAACAGACAGCAACGCAAACAGAACCAGAGTGAATGGGTCCTAGTTTGAAAGTACGCAATTTGTGCCCCGTTGCTTAAGATTTTCTATTTTACTTCTGCCTCTGGGAGTCACGTCTGTGGCTGTCAGAGCCTACACATCCCATCATGTCTCTGCCTCTGGGAGTCACAGCCTACAAATCCCATCATGTCACCGGGAGTCATGTCTGTGGCTGTGAGTTTGCAATGGCTCATAGGACTTGTAGTTCCACAACAAATGGAGTGCAGAGGTAGCCTACCCCTCTAGACAATGAGGTCTATGGTGGACATAAGCTGAACTATACTATCCTTGATTCAATGACATAGTCCAGCAAGGATTGGGGTTGTTTAGTGCTGTACTAGGGGGTGATGAGCGGTTCTGAAGGTGGAATAGCTTATTCTTACATGGAGACATTTTCCAAATTGTTGAAGCTGATTTGAGGGTAGCTAAGTGTTAAAGAGAATGTATTGTGAAGATTGATTAGATTCATAATTCTTTTTTTTTTACCAAAAAAATCAGCTCGATATAAATTATTTTATAACTCTAGTAATGTTTTAAAAGCCTTGTTTTGATGTATGGTTTGTACTTCAAGGGAGGAGCCATATTTTCTCCATCCAAACAATGGCTCTGCCTTACTGCTCCTTCTCATAACGCAAGTTGAGTTAGACAACTCACTCCAAACATTGTGCCCTGGGCCCTGTGTGCAAAATACGGCATCAGTTCAGCCTTTTATTTCCTATGATTCTGGATGTTATGTGGACAGTGTTTTACAACTATAAAACATGCTCTGGCCCCCTAAGGCTGCTGTAAGGTACACTGTGCATGACCGGCAGCTACATTTAGAAGTAATCCATGTTGTTCATTACACTATATAACACAGTATGACTGGTAGGTGTAAACATGAAGTTCCTGTGTGTAAAACAAGCCATGACCAGAACCTGCATATACCGCTGTCTGCACCCGGACATACCTTTTGTGCATCTTCTCCTCCATGGACTTGGCGCAAAAGGCACGAATTTCATAGTCAACGCCACAAGCCTGAGGACAGAAAGTAACAGATTGGCAATCTCGGAAGAGTTTGTTTCCTTGTTTAACCCCTTCATGACTGAGCTAGTTTTCAGTTTGTTCATAAATGACTGACACACAGTAAAAAAAAAAAATTGAATTTTTTTTTTTCTTTTCTTGTCAGTTTATATCAAATAACTAATAACCTTAGAGACTGATCCTGACTTATAGTCAGATTCAGATCTGCCTAAAAGCTCTTTGATCGTGCCAAAACGATCAGAACTGATACATTTCACTCAAAAGATATACATTGTAAGAAGAAAAACTGACTTGTGCCACTTCCCGGTCTTCTAATAATAGGGATTATATTATAGAGACCTCATATGCAGACTTCACGGTGAATGGCAACCCAAGACCTCATGGCCTCTCTGCTACCCACCATCACTTCTATTCTGGCTACTGAGCCTACCCAGTGGAAGGACAGAGTGTTCCTATCAAAGCTTTTGTTGGCATTGGCAAAGAAAATGGGCCAGGTTTGGGGTGGTCTTCATTTGGACAGTAACTGTCTGCAAGGTAGGCAAAGGAAAGCTTTGATGGCAACATCTGTGCCACCCCTTTACCGGAATGCCCTATTCTGGAAACCAAATTTAAAAAAAAAGGTGCACACTGGTAGCTGGCAGTTCACGCTGTAGAGTCAACTGGAACACTGAAACACAAAAAGTACTTTGTGACCGAGAGAGAGATTTATATATAAAGCAATTGCACCACCCCAGACCCCCCCCCAATGTTTGCTGCTTGGGGGGGGTGGGGTTTGGGCAAACCTTTCTTGGCCATAGTTCTCTTTAGGGTCCTCCTGTGTCCCCCAAAACGATTGCCCGCTATATGCCGAGAGCGCAGAGCCGAGCTGCAGCTGGGACAGCTCCTGAAGATATTGTCAGGATACCCCCCGCAGTCTGACAGCTGGCTCTGCCTCTCTAGAGTAGGAGTGCATTATTTTAACGCAGTCCTATACTAAAATATAAAGTACTTTATCTATAATAATCACTCCTAGGGAAAGGAACACTCTGAAGAGGTGTTAAAGCGGACCGCTGGGCAAAAAACTGTTCTCAACCCTTGAGTGCGTTTATATGAAGGTGTGGGGGAAAAAGAAAAAAAAAGGGAAGGTCACCAGAACCTCGCAGCATTCCCTCTAACCTGTGTGTATAGGACGTGATGGCTCAGGAACCTCAGATCACTGCACGGAGGGGGAGAGAGGCTCCAGGGACTGGTCTAAGAGCAAGCCAGCCGGCTCCGAAGATCAGGAGAGTAACTTTTTTTTAATTTTAGTACCTTAGACAAAAATGAGCACTTAACCATTGCAGTGGGTCTACCCCCCCCTAACGGCAAGGGTTAAGAGCAGCTTTGCCCAGAGTTCTACTTTAAATATGTATCTTTCATTTGTAATAACCCTCCTACAAAACTAGTCATGTAACCAATGGTGTGACAGAAGGGAGGGTTAGTGATCACATAGTCTCTGATTGGCCAAGTCAGCCTGAAGCAGACAGTGGATGACCATGATTGGCCAAGTCTACCTGAATGCCCCTCCCCCAGGACCCTAAGCAGAGAGCGGATGACCACTGCTCAACAAATGGTAAGACCGCCAATGCTGGGGGTGTCAGAAGAACCTCTAGCGTCAGTAAACATCCGACGCCCGTCTCCAGCCATTCTGTACTGTTCATACTGAAATAACAACCTCGTGAACGGTGAATGTATGCTGCATCTATTTTTAAAAGAATCCAATAACACCTGCGGCATTTCCTACAGCATGAATGTTTAACTCTGGTATCACTGAGAACCAAAGCGAGTGAAATCAGTGAAAGGTCACAGTGAGGGTGGAACATGCCGCATTCCAAAAAGAAAATACCAAACATATCAAACCTAACAAAGCCAACTTACTACTTGTCCGCTGTGTTCAATGTGAAATGGTTTTCTAGCTCTAGATCAGCTTGTTGGAGAATTGTAGCAGAACAGCAACCTACCACCGCTATTAATGCACCGCGTCAGGACTTTCTCTACCTCCAACATAGTGCTTGCCGATAGACAATGCACTGATGAGGTCTAACTGACCTAACTACCTACGTCATCCCTAGTCCAGCACAGCAGGTATACCATAGGCCTAGAGCTGCAGCAAACGATTATTTTCAAAATCGATTAGTTAGCCGATTATTAAGTTCGATTAATCGGATAAAAAAAACCTTTTAAAAAATTGCTCCAGTGATGGGACTACTAGTTTGTATTGAGATTGTAGTCCATCACAGGAGCCAGCTTGGAGCGGTGGAAGTAAAAAAGAAAGAAAGTGGTGTGCAATATAGTGAAATGAAAAGTGTAAAATTATACAGCAATGAATGCAGAATGGCATCGGCTATAGAGGACTACAAATCCCAGCAATAGTACATTATGGCTGGTTGTATTCTGCATTGCGCTGTATAATGTATTATTGCTGGCAGTTGTACTCTTCTATAGCTGGTGGTATTCCGCATCGCGCTATATAATATATTATTGCTGGGATTTGTAGTCCTCTATACAGCGCAATGCAGAATACCACCAGCCATAGAGGAATACAACAAATCCCAGCAATACATTATACATACAGTGTATAATGTATTGCTGGGATTTGTATTCCTCTATAGCTGATGGTACATTGCTCTGTATAATACAGAGCACAATGTACCATCAGCTATAAAGGAATACAAATCCCAGCAATACATTATAGAGCACCATGTTCGGGGGGGAAGTGCAGGCTTACCTGAGCAGTCTTCCAGCAACTTGTTTCTGAGATCGGACCTGTCTATCGGCGGCTGTCATCCGCCCCACACCTGCTCCTCCTTACTTCTTCTCCCCATGTCCCTGTGCCGATCGTGAATTTGGGCGGGCGGTGAGCGTGAAGCGGGGAGGAGGTGCGGCGTGTGGAGCCGTGAACAGGGACGACCAATCGGAAGCCGATTAATCGATGATTGAAAAAGTTGACAACTTTTTCAATAATCGATTATAATCGATTATGTCGATTAGTTGTTGCAGCCCTACATAGGCCATAACCATCAGTAGCGGTATGCACCAAGCTCAAGTTTTGCTTTGTGGCCCCTTAAAAAGTGCTTTAAAGCTAATCACCGGCCTTCCCAAGGTCTCGCACAGTTGTATAAGTTCCTCTCCTGGACTGAAATTGCTTCCTCTGATCTGAATAGCTGTGATGCCTCTCACCAGGAAGTCATGTGAAATCTCCACAACAGGAACACAAATTAAAAAAGCCTGGCACAGGCTGTGTCCCCATTAGCAAACATTCTCCAACCCGTCAAGACCTCCAACTCCTGCCAGTGTGCCTGCGCAGCCACCCAAGAAGTATCAAGCTGTACAAACTACGGCAGTGCGCCTGCGCGGGCAACCCAATGCCACAAGCACCGACGCGAGTTGGAGAACTCTGACAATTTCGAAGCCACGGCATGTGGAGAAGTCAACGAGGGTTGCAAAAACTGACGGCTGGCGCACACGCACTAGCACCATCTCGTCAAAAACTACAACGGATGTGACGTCACAAGTTGGAGATCTCTATGAGTTGGCCACCTCGACAGAACACCAGCAGGACATTTTATCCTTTCCCCACTCTAGTTTTGCCTGAAGTACCAGCAAGCACCAACATAACGACCTCAGCAGAGATATCACTCACCTTCCCCGTGTCCTCAGCACCTGGCTGCAGTGTCACCGAACATGGCAGATTCTGTGGAATCTAGATAAAGGAAGTAGAAATGGCCAGTTGATATGTGAATAAAACATGAAGAATTGGGAAAGACAGAAGGGATGGAAGATGTAAGCAGGATAAGAGGGGGGGGTGGGGATTTTAAGGAAACAGGCAGGAGGTGACAACAGGAAATCAGAGTTGTATAGAGAAGGATGGTTTACAAACTAACGGTGAAGTAGAATGGATGCGCTTGCTCCCCTAGTTTCTTGACCAGACGCTCCTGCAGTCGGGTGAGAGGCTTCTTCTCCTCCAGGAGAGGGGGATAGGCCTGAAAGGTCGAGATGAAGAGGTCCTTCCGGAACGAGAGGCCCAAGACGTCAAGGTCCTCGCGACCATAGCGGAAAGCACAAGTCAGGGTGACGAAGACTGAGGGGGGGAAAGAACGAGTGAGATAGGGAGAAGGACAACCAGGTGACGTCAATGGAGGACGGTGCTCCTTAAAGTGCACCTGCGGTTTTGAAGGAAACAATACACAAAAGAAGACAACCAGTAGAGAAGATGGAAGCAACTCTCTTATGCAATCATAAATGCCTCAGTAGAATATGGAAGGAAGTGGTGCCTTCCTTTCAACCAAATCTCAGTATCTATCACCATTGAAGCGCCACCTCCTCTACTATTAAACTCAACTCTGTTTATACTACCATTGCAGGTATATGAAGGATAGGTGGTGACCAGTCTACCACAGCTTTTATGGCAATGGTCCTAGATGGGGAACAATTTAATAGACATAAAGCCTCAAGCCTGAGGGCAGGATCACACCATTTTGCGGACCAGATCTTTTCCGGAAAATGGTGTGAACCTGCCCGCAGTTCCAGTGCATTCCGGACCAGACAAAATGAGACATGCAGTATTTTTCTGGTCTGGAACAGACTGCGCTGATGTGAACAGAGGCCAGAAATAGCATAGGGATACTTTGGGATGCATTTTAGTTCTAGAGACAATCTGGTCTGGTCTGGAGATGATCTAGATGCGGTGTGAATGGGCCCTGAACGCTGGCTGCAATATTCATTCTGGTGTGCCCACCAGGCCTAAGTAATACGGCATCAAGTGCATGGAGCCTAACAATGCCAATTAAAGCTCCGGGATTGCACATTTCCGTGCAGGACTGAGGATTTGGTTCTTGGCACAGGCGTTCAGGACAAGGCGAGTATATGCCACAAACCAGACATCATCAGTTGCAGTATGACAAGTTTCAGGTTTGCTTTGTATTGGGTAAGGCCTGTGTTCTATTGTAGATCTAAACCCAAAATGTAATATATTGCAGCTGAACAGTCCTTAGATGTGGTGGCTGTATTAGTTTTCTTTTTTTCAGGCCAAGTACAGTTCCTTTACTGCAAGTACCTGTCGATCCTGCCCGAAATGCTTGTAACCTCATTGGCACTAAACTGAAATCTCAAAACATTAATAGGCCTTTTTTTCCTTCTCTCTTCTGGGAACACCTCCTCCCCTAGGTTATGAAGATGAGGTGAGGGGGGGAGCTTTTCTGTAGCCTTAAAAGGAGAACTATGGGGTCAGGGCTTTTCCCCATAGTTCTCCTTAGGGTAACGGGAGGACACAAACTAGCGTCCTCCCGTCACCCTAAGCTCAGTATACCGCGAGCTACAGCTCGCGGTATACTGAGCCGCCGCAGCCGGAGCGGATCCTGACATCGATGTCACTCACGCAGCTGGGCAGATCTCGACAGCTGGCTCTGCCTATCTAGAGGCAGGGCCAACTGTACCCCCCCCTCCCCCGTCCGTTCCGCCAGTCAGCACTGGAGGATAGGAGC